ACAGGTCTGTTTACCCTGAGAATATTCTAGATTTTTCTGAGCATACTCATATCTTCTTTCGTTACATATGCTTAAAATGAAGAAAAAGAAAATAATTAAACTCAATCTCTTCACTGTCAAAGATTAACTTGTTACTTCTTGGTTATCATAGTTAAGAAGCTATAAGAACATATGGTAATGAGAAAAAAAAATTTTCTTTTTTTCTCTTTTTACTCCTCGATTAATTCAGACTGCAAAGGATCAACTTGTCAAACAAACAAAAAGAAAGAAATATTCTCAATGACATAGTTTCTTACTTTTTCTTTTTTTCTTGAGAATAGAGTGTTCTGAAAAAAAAATATAGAGATACAAAGGAAGATTATCTTCAATAGAAGACTATATCTTTTATTTTTTTCCTTATAGAATATACCAAGGTGAAAAACACACAAAATGCATTGTTACCAATTATATATTTTCACAATTAGTCTTATCTTGTGTTTCACCATTGGTTATCAACATCAAATTGATGCCAAACCTATCGAAGACCTGTTTACAGTAAATTCTGCAATATATCAAATCTTTCAATTATATAATATATGATTATTTTTTCTTTACTAGACTACATTCACAGCATCATTAGCAACTACAACTAATGAAACTAAATCGATCTATGCTCTATTACCTCCATATTTTCAAATGCAATCTTTGTTGATGCCATTTGCATTTCCTCTACCATTTCCAAATAATATTTAATGAACACATATAGAAATTATAAGATGTCATTTTTTTTACTATTCCCTTTTTTTTTTGCTTGTGTTAAAATCGTGATCAAATGTTCTTTTCATATTTAACCAATGCTACCGTCCATATAGTAATGACATCGAATTTCCACATTATTCGTAACAAGTATGACCCAATAAAACTATCATAATACCTAAGATAGCCTTTTACATTCTTTCTCATATGTATGGACAACGTATGAAGAAGCTATCCAAATTGTTTCTAAAATATAGATTGAGAAATTCATTATAATCAGCTATGTACAAAGTCGAACTTTCCTGGTTTGATTGTTCACATGATTGCAACAATATTAATCAATAGAGGAGAGTACAAATAGATAATTTATTGTGTGAAGTTTTTACATAATACTAATTCGTTTCTGTTGAATATAGATATGATTCACATTGTGTACTATATTGAATTTATCGCACATTGATTAAAAGTTCTTTATGATAGTTTGACAAGGATTCTGAGAGTCGAATTCATTTCTAAACTTTTTCTTCGTTTTATCTTAATTAGGCTCAGGTACAACGTTTTTGATTCAGTATTTAAAAATGAAGTTTAGTAATAGAAATTTTTTTAGGAATTCGATGAGTGACTTTCATTCCAATGGATTATCTATTTTTGTATTCATCATCCAAACGTTTATTCATCTATATGTCTATTGATCTACATAAATATATCTGACTGTGTCCATTTATATTTATCCATTTATCTAACTATCTAGTCGGCTATATATATTTCTATGGAATCAACTAAATCTATGTACACATATATTCGACTTCTTGTCTGTCAGTATTTGAGCTCAGTTATCGCGAGATGAAGCATTATTTGAAAAAAACTTGTAGCCGTGTGGAAATTGATGTGTTAGTGATTGAAGTACTAGTAGAATATTCTTATCATGCTACAACATGTTGATGCATCGTAGGAATAACTTTCAGTAGAGTTATTTCGGCTAGTTAGAGAAGTTCTTTTTTTTTTTCTTGACAATAAATATTTGATACATATATATTAGCTATGAACCGAACCTGGCAATTTATTATATGCTGATTTGACAAAAATTAGTACGATGACACCACTTCAGGATGGTGACTATAAGAGCATAATATGACAGGTATTTGATTAAGACATTCTCGAAAGATTTGGTGAGAAAACGGTTAAATTAGTAAATATTCTTGCCACATAGTACATTTTTCAGTATTTCAAACGATAGATAAAAGCTTAATAAATATCCATACCTATATCCATATCTTACGAAGAAGAAATCTATAGATGATTTATAATATTGAGTTAAAAAATATCAAAGAAAAACACTATACTAATGATCTTTGAGTCATTAATATTTTTATTAATATTTATTGGATAAATCAGTCTGTAAGTAGTATTTTTTTTATTTTGAAAGAAAAGTATTTTTGATATTAAGATCAATCATAAGATTAGATTAAAATAATAAAGATATCGTATTATGAATGATCTATATGAGCTTGATCAAGCAGCAGTTTTTCATCGAGTTAAATACGGTGATCAGCAAGGTTTTGAAAAAGATCATTCGCTAAAACAGTTTCAGACACAATAACATGCAACTTACCAAACTGTTATGCATGATTTATCATTGTTTTGTTTGCCTAATATTTGAATTTTACCATTTTTTCAATGAATTACAGAGTACATCATAATAAATAATTTTTCTTCGTATTGTATCAATTAAACTAAGATCCTTGGTCAGTAATGTGGATTTCCTACCTTGAATATAGATTCTCTTTGTTCATGCGACGTATAAGAAATGATAATCATATTATCTTCATATAATACTCATTCAAATCTAACAAGACCAAATAACTTACTGTCATAATTTACAAATAAATTATTTTTCACATGTGATTTTTAATTGAAATGCACTGAACATCAAATAGTTAAAGTAGCACTAGATTCATTTTGTCAGCTTTTTTTTCCCTATAGCGCATATTTCTGCTTTACGTGGTATTTTCCTTACAGTCATATCTGGTGCGGAGGTACCATCAATTAAAAACTAAGTCATTATCAATTATCATTTCAAAATTGCACAAGAAGAAAAGTTTGTGTTTTCGTCATAGATCAATAAAGTTAACTTGAAAAGAAACGTTTTTCTATATCATCAACATTTAGCGTTGTAGCACGTTTGGTGGTCAACCATTGTAGAAAATAGTAGGACAAGACTATTGTACTAAAAGAATTAGTATGTCCCTATATTTTGTGTCATTCCTTCAACAGTATTGAGAAGATCATTCTATTTAATGTGGGTTCAACAAAATATCTATTTTCTTTTCCTGCATCGTAGTAGATTCTGGTCTATTTTAATTTCTTTCTACTTAGAAAAACGTTATGAAAACTTGATAATGCATTCTAAAATTGTTATCAACTCATTTTTTTTACTATTTCTTGCAAACCAATATGCATTGATGCTAATAACTGTTCAGTCTTGTGATAACAATAATAAGAAATCGTTTCATAAAACTCTGAGATGACAGAAAACATATGTAAGGTTTTGATGAGTATCTGTAGAGTGATTCAAATTTATCCACGAAATGATATAATTTCGACAATAAATTAAGATGATAAAATTGAGATACCCATGCAAATTTATCTAATCTAGTTTGACTGTTGAGAGAAAAACACCCAGCTTTGTTCTAGTAAGAGAATAGTAAGTGCTCATCATATATGTTCTGAATTAAAATAAAAGTTTCCATGAGCAACTAAGTTCATCGAGCTTTACTGAATTTCAATAAATATGTGATAATGCATGAAAACTTCGATAACTGTTTTCATTCCTATTTTAATTACGAAGTAATGAATGTGATACAAGTATTTTACATTGTCAAGAAGGGTATGAATGTGGCATATGAGTAGAATATGGACCTTGCTTGCACCTACATCAATACCCACTTTTGGGTTCTAAACGCTACAAAAACTCGTAGAAGAAGGCATACAGCGACTGAATATTTATGAACATCTTCACGAATCTGATCTTCACATATACGCTGTTGAATTTTTGATTTTCCAAGTATGATTGAATACGTGTTACTAGACAGTACAACGCGCTTGTAAATATTTGTCTTTTTTATTTCAATGTAACAGTTACACGCTATTATAAATAACTTTAGCAGAATAACAATCACTTTATGCGTTGAGTATTGTTCGTAATCGTGTGTTTTTTGCACCTTCTTCGAATAATATTCGTTTGAATTAGTATACAGCTCTACCAATATCCTCTGTCTTCTCTTCTGTACAATTCTCAACGCTTTCTCTACACAAGTATCATTTTGACGAGCAATAAATCATTGTTTCCAATTTATATTTATTCGTCTCAGAAGCTGTGTCCCCAATTATTTTCCTTTGTCTCTGGCTTTTCTTAAACAATGATATACAAGTATAGTATTAAACTCTTGTAGAGAGAATCACTATCAGATTCATATTAAACAAGATTAATAGTCGTCTATTTAATGCTTCTATTGGACATTGTGTAAATGGAGCAGTATTTACATGAGTGTCTCTCCTTTAATAGAAAGAAGTATGATGCCCATAAGCCGTATGGCTACTAATGCGACATAGCGAATAATCCTTAGGCAATTATTTAACATCGTTTTGATAACTGAGATGCCGACAGCAATATGAATCGCCTATCATATTTTATGCCCTATTTGACTTTTGAAAAAAAATTACATTCATTATAGGGATTTCACTTTTTATATAGTATGCATAATAGGATTTTGTTGTTCATCCAAAAACTCATGTAAATAGTCATATTAGAAGCTGACTTCTTCTGGTTTTTAAAGAAATAGTAAGAAAAGATATATTACATTATGTATAAATCGGACATCATTTTCATCACATGACCCTAGATTTTTTTTGACCCACCTTCTATAATTAAAGAAACTATGAGATTTTCTTTTTTTTTGTAATTTAGATATCGATCAAATAAAACAATATGTCGTGTGAACAGTATATATTTATCGTTCAATGAACAAGAAATAGTCATGACGATAAGACAACTTACTGTAATTTGTGATTGAGTTTTGTAAATGTAATAGTTTATGCTTGAATTATTATTGAACTTTTTTATTTGCACCTATTGGGTTCATATAAAATATCTATTCATACTTAGCACAAAAAAGTTTAGATACAAGATTTTTTTTCAGTTAAATATGATTATGTCGGAAGTAAGTCGAATTTGGAACTAATGTTTACACAATATTCAAAACTAATTAATAAACTTTAAGAGAATTATCATCCACATATGAATCAATTTGCACTCCTTGGTCCTTAGTAAATATCATAGTGTAATCGATATAACGTGTTCCTACTGGTAATAGATAAGAAAACGATTGTAGACACCAACTAGTCGTGCATGACGATGGAGACACTGTCGTTGTTGATATCTGAGTTTTATTCAATGTTCGAAAGGTTAAACTTATTTGAGCTTTGTCTAAATTGGGATAGTTAGACCAACTTTGTTGGTAAAAACTAATATAAGCCGACAAACTACCATTATCCAATTGAGCTTCTGTATATCCTTGAGTACCATTAAGTAAGAGAATACTTTGCGTTAGAGTACTATTATTGGCACCATTACCAGTACGACCACCAAAAAATTGTTTAATACCAGAATGAGAATTACACCCTGTGTTTGCTGCGCCATTATCTATTGTGGCATTACCTGCACCACCAGTGATCCATGGAACAAGAACACCATCTTCAGCACCGGGATTAATGAGTAAGTTAGGCGGAATCATCGTAGTGGTTGCTATATATAGAATAAAATTAGTATCGAAAAAACTAGTCTTTTTCAAATATATCATACTTGTTATTATTGTGCTTACTAAAATATAAATATCAAATGATTTATTAAATATAAGAAAGAATCAAATAGGTTTACCTGTCGTTATTGTTGTACTAATAGTGGTAGCTATATTGTTAATTATATAAATTAAAATAATCTTTTCAAAAACATACATTTATATTAACTTACATTGTGTCAATGTAGTACTTTGAGCTAAGAATAAATGAAATAAAAACTATTTTTTGTTTGTAATTCTTACTATTTCAATACATACTTGAAGGGATTGTTGTTACTGAAGTAAGAATGGTAGTAGTAACAGATGAACTTGGAGATACTAAATAGAGAATTTCACAGTATAATTGAAAGAAACAAATACATTACTTACTAGTCGCAGTTATCGTTGAGTATGTTGCTATTTAAAAAAAAACAATCAAGCCATTAACAGTTGCTTTAACAAATACTTCAAAAACAATTTTTATTATTCCTACTCAGTCATTACAAAGCTCATAAAAGAAATATTTGGTTAATGTCAATACAATGACATTTAATTAATCGTCATTGAAAGCAACTGATGCGCATTATATGAGAAGATAAAGTTTCCAGTAAAAAGTAAAAAAAATCTTCCTTTAGAAATCTTCACTTGTATCTATAAAGAATAGATTTTATGAGAAATGTTGCCTTCTAATTTTTTGAAAAATAAAAATAATCATTGAAATTAGATTACTGTTTTATGCCTTTATTGTTGTCAGAGAGGAAAAAGAATCACTATTGTACAAAAAAACCAACAGGGAAAAAAAAATCATTGATTACATTTGATGTAGTGCTTTTTCTAACTCTATTTCTCAATAAAAAGAACTGTAAGAGAAACAAATAAATCTTTGGAGAAAGTAAGCCAGATCTTTGATTGCCAAACACGAAATTTTACTCTTTCTTACAATATATGTACATGGAGCGGTATTAAAGAAAAACCAAAATGTATCATCTGCTTACTTGTGGATGTTGTTGATGTTAACCATAGTGTTAGTATTATAGCTAAAGCAATACTACAAAGTAATGAACCAAGAAGGATTCCATAAAACAGTGAGCACAATGTCCAAGTTTTATTTGGATTTGTTTTTCTAATGAATTAAAATCTGTAGAGATGACATGAATATATTAAAATATGATATTTACCTCTGTTCACCGTTTTCTTCTATCCAGGCATCGTTATTCGATCGGATAGGTCTGTTAGTAGTTGAAGATAGTTGTTGTAAATTTTGCCATGGTTCAGATGACCAAACACTACATTGACTTACTTTCATATTGAATAATGATTTATAGACTTGTTCAATGAATAAAGAATACTTTTATATATCTTTTGGCTGTTGTTGAAACGAGAAATTTATTTAAATATCATTAGTTCTACTTTTCAATTACTTGTTTTAAATAGATGCAGACTGGTTTTTTTTCGTTCTTCTTTTTTAATTAAAATTCAAATTTGACCTTATATAGAAAAAAAACAATCAGTGAATATCGTATTTGACAATTTTATAAGGAATATGGCAGAAGTAGATTCCTCAAAAAAAAAAGGTCAAAAAAATTCAATGATACTGTTTTACATTTACTCTAATTTAAATAAAATCGGTCGTTTTTTTGATCAATCTTAAAGAAAGAGAAATACACAGACAAACAAAAACAAAATATTCTTTGAATATAATTATTGAATGACCCAACATTTCATCATAAGCAAACTATTGTGAACAAATCGACCCAAAAAATTCGTAGCATAGACAAAACGTTGCAACTTCAAATATTGTAATACCTCCTGATGCTATACATTTGTATGCCAGATTCTGACTTTGTAAGTTACGATATTAACAAATAAAAAATAGAATATTAATATCGACTTGTTCACATAACGGTCCACCTATTTTGGCAGTGTCAGAAAAATATAAAATTCATGCTTTCATTATATAATTTTTACGTTGTCCGAAGGATGATGTGAGACATTTTGTTAATTGTTCTTTCAGAGATGTTATCAATATGTTCGTTCTTAGGGAGAACTGCAGTAAACTTTCGAAAGAAATAACCGTCAATGAGAATATCTCCATTTTAAAAAGCGCTATTCCGTCAAGACAACTTTTTTTTACTTGTGAGACGCAGCTATCGTACATTTTTGATTGTTTTTTTTTCCATATATAGCTCGTCATCTAAGCTATAACTTTTCTGTAGGAAAGTTATTAATCATACTTATAATTAAGCTGAAGTTTTTAGTTCTTCACACATCACTCAAACCCAGAATCCATTTTTGATTATTCCATTGTAGGCATATATTTCAGTCATAAAAATGTAAAAGAAAGACAAGATCTAGTGAATCTTTTAGGATGTGTAGAGCAGCTCGATTTATATATGTTTGCAAAATATCAACCCTATTAGACTTCAATCTGTTGAGATATTTCAGTGATAAAGTGAAAAAAGCGCTGGTCTGTCACACTTGGACAGGTCGATATCATTTTACTTCTTGTCAAAGTTAACTTCAGAGAAAAATATGTGTCATATGAATTTTTATTCGTGAAACTTAATCACTACCATAATTTACTTTACTGTTTGAAGTGGCTGTTGACCAGAAGTAAAATCAAATTGTTATTTTAATTCTTCTTATTCATTAACTACATATTTTACGATGTCATTTCCTTCAAAAAAAGGTATTGCAATACTTTTGCTTTCCAATGTTCTGTCTATGCGCTGAAACGTTCTACCACCTAAAGATTGATAATGAATGTCTAGAATGCAAGACATCAGTAATTCGAATTTCAGATGAATACAATTTTTTCTTTAACAACGATACACATCAAATCAATCATTAGCACAATAAATCACTGAACAAACATTAGAAAATGAAATTTAAACACAGAAAGACTTCAGATAAGTAAAAAACCAAGGAGAACTGTATTCAATTGAGTTTCATAAAAATCAACCAGTCTTATCGAGATATTCTGACAAGCAAACACGTAGTCCTGAGTATCTCATCATTCAATTGTGTGGTGAAAACAACATGTTCCATTCTTTTAGTTCAGCTCTGTAATAATTATTTTTTCTAGTTTCCTTCACTTTTCTCATTTGATCTTTTTTGATGACATTTCATTGAACAATCACATAACATAGGTAAGATATTGTTTGTTGTTACAATATGATTGAACCTGAAAAAGATTGTCAAATTTGTTAAAAATTCTTTTCTTTTTTTAAAGACAAAAAAAGAATTTCAACATATTTTTATTTAAATTTGATTATCATATTCTAATTCAATGTGATTAATAAAGGCGCAATAAATATATTTTCAAACATATCATCAATGATGAAGATGTTGACGCAGACAATGTGTTGGTTGTTAATTCATTCCGAGACATCACAAACAGATAGACTAACAAATCATTTTGGTCTGAGAGTGTTCTAAATAATTCTGAGCATACTCATGTCTTCTTTCATTAAATATTCTAAAAAGAAAAAAAAAAAGAAAAGTAATTAAATTCAATCTCTTCACTTTCAAAGGTTTAGAAGATATTAGACTAATAATAATGAGGGAAAATCTGTTTTTCTTTTCTTTATTTTTTATTTAACTCAGACTGCAAAGGATCAACTTGTCAAGTAAACAAAAAGAAAGAAATATTCTCAATGACATAGTTTCTTACTTTTTCTTTTTTTCTTGAGAATAGAGTGTTCTGAAAAAAAAATAAAATATAGAGATACAAAGGAAGATTATCTTCAATAGAAGACTATATCTTTTATTTTTTTCCTTATAGAATATACCAAGGTGAAAAACACACAAAATGCATTGTTACCAATTATATATATTCACAATTAGTCTTATCTTGTGTTTCACCATTGGTTATCATCATCAGATTAATGCCAAACCTATCGAAGACTTGATTACAGTAAATTTTGCAATATATCAAATCTTTCAATTATATAATATATGATTATTTTTTCTTTACTAGACTACATTCACAACATCATTAGCAACTACAACTAATGAAACTAAATCGATCTATGCTCCATTACCTCCATATTTTCAAATGAGATCTTTGTTGATGCCATTTGCATTTCCTGCACCATTTCCAAATAATATTTAATGAACACATATAGAAATTAGAAGATGTCATTTTCTTTTTACTATTCCTTTTTTTTGCTTATGTTAAAACCTTGATCAAGTCTTATTTTCATATTCCATATATATTTCCATCCATGTGATTAGTAATTTCAAAGATTTAAAAAACTAAGACAATAATTCATAAATTCTATATATATTTGATATTGGAAGCACGACAACTAGCATTGCAATTGATAAAAAGTGTACTAAAACTGATGTATTTCAATTTCATTGATTCGAAAAGATATTTGAATCAAGCAAATGTAATAGAAATGATTCTTGATCAAAATCATAGAACGGAGTTCATGAAATGTTCGTTTCTATCAACGAATTGGAAATATCTCACTTTTTATGTTGATCTACATTATTTTAAGGTATTAGTTCTTATATTTTGAATTTCTTATAATCGTCATAATTCCTAAATTAAGCAATCTTAACAAAAATAACAATCAGACTCGCTGTGATAATACAAACAAGTATATCAATCATAATATCCACACATTCTGAAAAATGAAAAACATTGCTAGAAAGTAGGGCGACCTAATAAAAATATACGTGTACTTAATATTATGTATACATTAGATAGAGATTATACTATGATACAGAAATATATAATTAACCAGTTACCCTCTGTCTGTAACTGAAGTTGTAATTTATAGAAATATCGCAGAAAATGCAGAACGTGTGATACTAAAAACTTGTTACACATTGTGTGCAGAGAATTTTCTTAGCTATCAATTGAAAAAAACAAAGTAATTTGCGTCATCGCTCTATCCCCAAGATAAACCACTTATAAAGGAGACGACTATGAGTTGATTAAAAATAGAACCACTTTTGCCATTATTTTTCTTTTATCCACGACAAATATATATCTTGATGATATACAGTACGATAATTATCGACAAAAGTCGCTCTATTGAAGAAAGTGGAGAATAATGACATGAAAGAAAAATCGAAAAACTCTCAACTAAACCTAATACTTATTAAGATTTACGTATAGATAAATAAGCAAATTGCCTTTTTTCTTTTTATAAATATAAGCACTATTTATTGTTATATAAATATTTAGTGTTGATGTCGCAGAAGAAGAAACTCAAAACAAATTTACATTCTAATAAGTTTAAATCTTATCATCTTCGAAGTTGAAGAATAATAAATCGATAATTATCTACTTAATGATTTAATTACTTCGAGAAAAACATAGATTATGTACATAGAAAATTGTTTCAGAAGCACATGAATTATAATAGAAAAGAAAATGTCTTCAAAAGATGAAACACAGAATTTTTTATGTCGCTACCTCCAATGACAAATTGCAGTTGCTAAATTATCCTGCACATAGAAAAGAGTACCTAATTGATCTGGTGTATTATTGGTTTACCGAGGAGACCAATACTCTAGTTCAATAGTTGTTTCTTTAGTTTGCCACTCTTCTGGAACCGTTATGGTAGGTAGAGCATTAAAAGGTGCCCTAATAGTTTTACTTAATTATTCTTTTTTAAAAGAAAGTTAATGAAATGTAAAATAAATTTAAAATGTCATCAAGCTATTTGGGGTCAAAAAAACTTAACATCCTTTCAAATGAATAACATATGGAATAGTTAAAAGGAAAATGTTGAAATAAATGATCTACTCTTCTGATACATGATAAATACTATGTGTTCAAAAATTTAGCAAGAAAATCCAGGTCATAAAATAGGATTTTTTTTTCTTAACAATTAACAATGATAAACCAGACAGGATTTCCTTTGTGTTGATATGCTTTGCTGAGAAATCTGTCATGCAGAGTATCAAATCGCATTTGAAAAGCTTTTGTTGCTGTCGATTGTTTCGACAAAGATGTACTAGCATTAAGTTGAATTGAAATCTGTTCGAAAGGAACATTTTCTCTTTAACTCAATTGTATGAAGTTCCATATATTCGGATGTAGTTTGGACAATTGAGTGTGAAGTGGCGAAGGCACCTTCTCTTCATAGCCTAACCCACATTCACAGCCACAATCAATAAAAGAAAAACAATTGAATTTCGTTACTGACATCTTTACATGTATTCGACGTTTTTCACCAGCTCCTCGAAATATGTTCATCGAATTAGAAAAGAAACAGGCAAGCAAAGCATTTAAACTCAATAAGAACTAGGAATAAATCCGTCTATCTCTGAAGGGTGGTTTGCATCACTTACCTATTCGGTGGCTATACTGCACCCACAGAGAATGTTTCTATAATAGTAAATCAAGAGGACTTATTTTGAAAATAGAAAAATATGCATTCTCTTTATTTTAATTTGTTTTTGAAGTTATCTATGATAGAAACAAGTCCTATTGGTTTATTAATTTGATTAAAATTCAACATGAACCTCAAATAGGCAACGTTATTGACATTATACTTACAATGAAACATGTATGGTTTGAAAGTTCTATATTAATATTTGAAATATTTGTATTTTAATATAAATTATAGTTTAATATAAAAAAAAAAAGGAGCTTTAATAGAAATATTAAATAAAGATTGTTATCATTTAGTTCTCTGTTTGAAATTTTCATTCGTAGATGTTAAGTTACAGTATAGTTGAACATATAACAATCCAGAGTAGTCAATTTTTACTGAAGAAAGTTTATTGGACGATTTTTTAAATTGAGTATTTTTCCAGGATTATTCTAAAAAAAAGAGCTGATCCCATGTAAATGAAAAGAAAAGAACACATTTGACAGTTTCATAGCTACAACATCTTAAAGCGAGATGTCTATAATGTAATGCGTCTATTTTACAACAAACAACAGATAATATTTGTTTAAACTTTTTATCATTTTTTTTATAATGATTCATTTTTCTTTCCAAATATCACATTCAAAACAGTGTCAGATATTGCATACGATGGTAGATAATTTAAAGTTCACGAAATGTTTTTTCGACTTTTGCGAGTCCCTTCTCTGAAAGACGTGCAGTGTCTAATATTGTTTCAAATGTGATATTTGAAAAGAAAAATAACAAAGAGCTGAGATGAATATTATCTGGTGTTTGTTGTCAAATAAATGCATTACTATATAGATATTTCACATTTAAGAAATTTCAGTTATAGAAAAATGTCACCCGTGTTCTTCTCTTTTCGTTAACATGTGTTGAATTATTTTTAGAACACCTCTGGAAAAAATAACTTAATTTTTAAAACAGTCCACAAAATTTTGTCCAGTATTGTAAGTAAGCCTTGAAGAAACAGATCTCGATGTGAATCAATCATAAATGATGATCTCAAAAAGTTTGCGATCATTATCGTCTTGATTTTTTTGTCACCATGAGTGATTGTTGGTTTCTATAGCACTTTTTTTTATCGCACATCTGCATTTATTTTAAGTGTCACTTCCGTCCTTTCACATATTTCTTCCAGAATGTTTTAATGAATATGAGAAATAGTCGATGAATCATATTTATTGCACTTTGAGTAGTATTTAAATAATTTGTTTTTTTCAAGCTTTTAATAAATATGATTTATTGACGTGTTGATAGATGGTATATAGTTCTTAGATTTACTATTATTTACATATATGTCTATCATATGAGATATTTAATAAGGTTGTTTTTTTTGGACTGATCGTGATCTTCAATTATTTGTTAGAAGTAAACTTCGAATATCTTTTTGATAATATGAGGAACTATTCTAATATTTATCCAATAATTAGATCCCGTAATTTAATAGAAAATTGTAGTCAATAGAAAATACATATCAACTGTAAATTGCCACTCAAATAGTAAGTGACATGCTGTCAAATAATTTTCTTTTCGTAAATAAATACAACGTTGACTTCTATGCTTTCGCTCATGTTTATTCTAGTTTTTTTATTTTGTTTTTGTCATGTCATAAATAAATTCTAATATAAGAAAACAACAAACACATAAAATTCTGTTAGTTTTCATTTCTGCAATAGAAATTCAATCATTGAAAATCTATGAACGCAAATAGCTTCTCTTTATTTTTACTTTATCTCATTGAATTTCGGCAGAATACGTCAACATGAGATATGAAAAATAAAACAGAAAACATTTGCCTCTCTAATTTATAGGAAAAAAAACACTACTAGAGAAAAACTAATTCGATTTGTTAACATATTCTTTGATGTCAAAAATGACATGAATCATGATTCAAACTCAATCAAATGTATGAGTTTCGATGAAGAATTTACTATTGTTTGACTTATTCTTTGCTCTTAATCACCCATTTAAATATTCATTATAATTCATCAGTTTCTCATGTTATATGAATTATATAACAAGAGACAAAAGATTTTAAATCAATTAATAAAGATTTCAGTGAAGGGAAGGATCTTCCGTCGTATCGCATTTTTCAATTAAAAGAGTTTTCCAAAAAAGTAAAACAATTTTGAGGACTGGAAAGAGATTTTTAGAATTTGTAAAAGGCCAGAAATAATGTTGATCATAATCTTTAAAAATTTTCAGGTAAAACCTCTGAATAGCTAGACATATTTTGACAAAAATATACTAATAAAACTTTCAGTTTTACAAGAAATTAATTAACTGAAAGAAATCTTCTATTGTAGCAAAGAGTTAAAATATAGTCGCAATTTGATCGATAATGAAAACTCTGCAGTAATTAATATTAGAATACCGTTTATAAATAATGTCAATATTAATAATTTTTCATAAATATAGCACATCGATACATTTATTTGTATAAAATAGTCTACACGAATGAAAAAAACAGACTGAATTATAATTAACAAATTTAATTGAAAATGACATTTGATGGTTGGTAACATGTCATTTACAAAATTAACTATTGCGTTTGTACTGTTCAGTTAACTTAGTTTACGATTGTCTGCTTAGCAATATATATTCCATACGAGATTTCGGCAAAATTTTTGTATCTAAACGAATAATGAAGGAATGAGTTTAGCAATATATTTTACGGAGATAGACAGTTTCCTTTTTTTTTTAATTATGAATAAATGCAATCAGAAAAAAAAACTATTTAAGTACGAGCAAGAAAATATTTTTGGGACATCTGGAAAATGTTCTATGCGAATAAACGAGTTTCATATGATAGAATGAAAATACTCATCCATATTAATCTGACCTAATATAAATGACTATCAGATTATAATTAGTGAATGATCAATAGGTTGTTCTCTTCGTTGTCTATCGAATAGTTTCTCGTGACCAAAAAAAAAATAAGAGAAAAATTATATTTTCATGCGAGTAATAATGGTTTTTTTTATCAATTGAAGATATAAAATGTCGTTATAACTATTACTCTCAAGCGATGACTACGTGACTAATATATGGGTTTCTTTTTTGTTATTCTAGCATTTTTAACTTGATAGACAGTGTGTCATTGATCATATCATGACATTGGTTCTCACGGTATTTTTTTTTATATGAAATATTTCATTTATTCTTTTGCCTAGATAGCTATACATTTTTCTTCCTTCTCTTCTTTCCTCGTGGTCTCGAACGGCGACGATGTTCGTAATAAAGAGATTTTTCCTATAGCGTACGCAACGCACGCGTTTTTTTCTCTTTTTCTTGTGTGTATTCCTCTTATTTTTTTTTCTTCGTTCGGCATGGAAGGCAGCAAAAGCAGTACCATGTCTCCATCATTATTACATTCACAACGACAACATCCATTAATCGGCTACTATATTTCACGAAAAAAATTTTCTAAACTTCGTTTTGATCAATTTTTACTTCGATGTAAACATTTTCATATTGATACAATTGAACTAACATGTGATTATTTCGAATTACCAAATATTCGTATTCCTCAATTAATTATTCATAAATTAGAAGATGATGCATCATCACGTACACTTATGGAAAAAATTCATTTATTACCAAAATCCTCAACAATAATTCTTGATGAGTTTGAATCAATATCGAGATTATTAAATCGTTATGAACAATATTCATTATTAAATGCCAATAAAAAACTTTATGTCGTCCCACCATTTATATGTGTTACAAATGATGATAATAAATTAATGATTGAAAAAATGTTAATTAATAATCAAATATCATTTCCAATTATGTGTAAACCTATTCAAGCTCATGGTGATAAATCACATGATATGAAAATTATTTTTGATAATCAACATTTAAATGATATTGAAAAACCTTGTGTTTTACAAAAATTTATTGATCATGATGGTATTCTGTTTAAAGTATTTGCTAGTAAGTTTTCTTGAAAAATAAATAAACAAAAAAATATCTGACTTTGTTGATTTTTTTTAAATGTCTCATCTAGTTGGTCAAGATAATTATCAGATAGTACAAAGAAATTCTATACGTAATCTTGATACATATTCATCTCGGGACACAATATCATTTCATTCTAGTGAAGTTTCAAGTTCTCAAGCTGATCATATACTTTTATCGAGTGACCAATCAGTAATAGTCACTTTTGACCATAAATTAGTTAATAAAATTGCTCAAACGGTACAAAATTTATTTGAATTAAATCTCGTTGGTATTGATATTATTATCGACAGAAATACGGGTGATTATGCTGTTATTGATGTTAATTATTTTCCTGGTTATGAAGGTATTACTGATTTTAGTTCGCAGTTATTTCATTTATGTCAACATCTACTTCATATTTCTTAGTATCAACAAATAAATTCGTTTTTTTTTATCGTTATTTATTCAATAAAAAAAAAAAAAAAGATAAAAATTTAGTTGTCAAATTTAACATAGTATGTGGGATCGGATGAATGAGATATGGCTACACCAAGTACAATTGATGAAATGACACCAAATAATTCAATAAATAAAATGGCTCCTAACACTCCAGCTATAATTGGTAATTTATTCCATACCCAAATAGCAACAGCTTCAGCACAACCTTGACTATAGAGAATTCGTTTGGTTGATTCATCCGCATAACATGATGAAGGAATTTTATAGCCATATCTTGCATAATCGGAAGCACCATCAACACCACAACATTTAAACTTGCGTTCTAAATTTTCAATAATTTTAATAGTTTCTGTTTGATTTTGACTATAAGCATGATGAAATACTTCCATAAAACCAGAATCATATGTTTTCCATAAATCATTACGAAATACTAATGTTACAATTACAGCAGCAAATTCAAAGAATATAATAAGTAACAAAATAACTGAATATGTATACAGAAAACCTCGATTTTTTAAAACAGCACCTAAATAAATATAGGATAGATATTTATAGTCACCAATTTTTTTATTTAACATACCTAAACAACCAAATGCAGCTAAACATGCAGTCAATATACCAACAGTGATCATGCCTACTCCAATCCATTGCATCGCTTCTCGTCCAAGTGCTTCTGATACACCATAAATTTCAGAGATAGCAATAAAATTTCCATTGACTTTAACATAGATACCTAAACCCATTACAGTAAAGCCAACAAGAAGAAATAGGATATTTAATGCAAATAATGCTGCACGTGTACATTGAACCCCATATGAAAGTTGGACCATGGTTGATAATTTATTGTTTTTGTAAAAGAAAGAATCAAAAAATGCGAGACTTATGAGTCTTCATATACCAAGAGATAACAGTATTGTTGACTGTGATGATATAAGCAAGATAAAAAAAATGCAAAATGAGTAATCATTTTGATAATTTTTGCAGATGTAATTACACAACTAAGACATTTTCATGTCATATGATACTTTGATTATGATATTAAGGTATATTTAAGAAAATTTAAAGGAAAGTCGGAATAGAAATTCAACTGTGTAAGAAAGAAAATCGACGTGTCAAAATGAAATTATATTCATTTAAACATAGCAACATGCAAAGATTATTTATTCAAAACTAAATCAAGGCGCAAGGTTACTTGGTTTGAAAATATGATGCATCAGATTAAATATATCTGTAATCGATGCATTAGTAATCTGCATGTCTCTCTAAGGATGATTGATAAACTTTCTATAATAATATTATATTCATCATTTCTATGCACTTTGTTTGTAAACAAAATATGACCCTAATTGGATTTCTATTATCCAAATAAGAACGTAATGTAATACAATAAACTGAAATATAACGATGATGAACAAATTTATTTTTCAATTCAGTTTACTTTTGAAGTCAATGACCGAATATGTTGTATATGCATCTAATTAATGATATGAACAATCGATTCACCACATCATCATTAGTGTTTTACAGACGAAGATTCAAACGAATAAGACTATTAGTGTGTGTGAGTGTAAAGATGAATTAAGAGAAGATCAGCACTCATGTTCACATCTCTTCTTGTCCAATGTTATTATAATTTAAAAATAAACAATAGTATTGCTAATTGTTGTATCTCTAAGTTAAATTTTAGTAAGCAAGTAGTGTTTGTTAGTATTCTCTATTATTGACGCTTAACTCTTTCGATCAAAGGCTTATTTATTAAAATATGATCTATCAAAGGAACAAGATTGTTGATAAAATGGAAGAAAAGATCATGCCGTCCAACTGGGAAATTTCTCTAATTGATCTTGTTTAATCGACAAAACGAGACTGAAGTTTGATGTATTCACGTTTCACCAATAGATATTCTAATTCTTTTGTTTAAGACTTACTTAAGTTTGACGAAAAGTTTTGATAATATTGAAAAAATGTTTATGATAATTGCCATAATTATTAATAAAGTATTTGATTTCTTCTAACAATTTGTCTAAACATCTTTAAGCTTTTCTAAAATATTAATAACTCTGTTGGAAACCGCATAAGTTAATCCTATTGTTATTTGTTTAATCAGCTAAGTTATTATTGATACAAACATTAAGACACAAAATGCATAGTGCAAGGATTTGGGCATATATATAACGACTGTGACATTATGCGGATACTTACTTTTTTAAAGAATTATAAAAACTTGAATGAGTACAAGATAGGAAAATATGGACAAGCGGTTGTAAAATTTTTTTCTTGATTAGATAACTCTTTTAATTTCCATATTTTATGAGCAATAGACATCCGAGAATTTTCAATTCAAAGCTTGTCATCTACGACCTTGTCTATATCTACATTATGGATAAGAATCAGACCATTTGACTTAAAGAATGAGCTACACAAACTTTTAATTCAAATCTGTGTGCATGAACAGCAGTCTCTGAGGATTATACAATGTCTTGCAACCAATCTATTTAAAATAAATCTATACCTTATCACCAGTAATGCTCGAACGTAAGTTATATAATCTATCATAAAATGTTTTTGAATTTCAATATAAATTCTTGAAACCGACCGGAAAAAAATAATATGACTATCACTTTATCTTAGAGTGTGTATCTATTAAACTTTGTAAAATAAACATCAAAAAACAAAAACTAATCACGCACAAGTTTATTCTTATTAACGTTATATTTCATTGATTATATTTGATTGTTAATCATGCAATAAATCAAGACAAGTGACTAAGATAAGCGAAAATTAGAAATCGATTGAAATTTTTCAACATCTCCTATATAGAAAAGTCTTAAACAATAATTACTTTTTTTTTCTTTTCTCTTCATCTTTCTGTTAAAAACTAGAATACAACTATATGTTTTGAAGATTAGCTTGAGCTACATGTATCATTAACTTTCAAGATACAAATCTATAAAAATGAGTAACACGTACGTATTCTCAATATGAAAATTCATTTTTGTATTACCTACAAATTATCACACAATGATAAATAAATTTTATTATTAATCAAATAGACCACTATCAGCATCAATTTTTATTATAAATATACAAAACAATTAAATATATATTTATAAATATCAACTGAAGCAAAAAACACTTTTGTATAATGGTCAAATTATAATTTTCCATACAGTTCCCCATATGAATAATGTGAAATAGCAACAGCCAATGAAATTGAAGAGATAACTCCAAAAATTTCAATAAATATTATAGCACCTATGATACCACCGATTACTGGCAATTCATCCCATATCCAATCAATAATGGCATCAGCACAACCTTTTTTATTTATAGGTTTAGATAATGACTGATCTTTATGACATGATGCCGGAACTGTGAAATTTACTGTTGCATAATCATTGTAATCTGTGACACCACAACATTGGAATTCTATTTCTAAATCTTCTACTTGTTTAATGAGATCTGATCGATTACTGTCATATGCATTCCTAAATACTGTCCAAAGACCAGTTTCATAACTATCACGTACACGAACACGAGAACTCATCGTTGTAATAAATGCAGCCAATTCCAAAATCATTAAAATACTAAGAATTACTCCATATAAATAGAGAAACAGCCGATTTTTGAATAGAGCACCTTTAAAAAAAAACAGATGAAAATAATTTTCTTTGAAAAATATCATTAGTTTTCTCTCATACCTAAACAACCAAATAAAGATAAAAATATTGTAAAAATACCAGCAACAATTAAGATTACTCCAACAACTGCAATAGCTTCTCCACCAATAATTTGTGCATTAATATGATCTGATAATGCTACATCAAATTTTTTGCTTACTTTAAGATAAATTCCAAATCCCAATAATGCAAAACCAAGTAGAATAAAAAGAATATTCAAAACAAGCAAAATTATACGTGTAATTCTGATGCCACAAGAAAGACGAATCATGATGTGTGAGATGTTTTTGTTTGAAAAGAATACAATCTCATGACAGAGTATCAGCTACCTTAAAATAAGGAAAGATAACGATCATGATGCATGCATGTAGAGATAATATTGTGAAGATAAAATTTGAAAAAAGAAGTCATATTGATAATAAAACAAGACATCATATGTTATCCAAAAATTGTTACAATATTCAAAATTCGATCATTTTTGAATCTTGATTACTCAGAATAATATACGTTTATTCGTCATCTAAATATTGATGATGTCTGTATATTTTTATTTCAACTGTTTAAAGTATACTTTGCTGAAAATAATAATTGTTATTGTTATCACAAGTGCAAATGTTACAGTCTCTTTTTTTCTTCAGCATACATCGAAAAACGAGTAAATAAGGATTGAAAAATTTTGTTCTATTCACAAAAAAAAGACTTTAGACATACTGCTGCATAAATTGTTTGTCAATAATCTATACTCCTACTTCATTTCAACTTGAATCATTTTATCATTTATTATTATATTATATATATGTATAGAAAGAAAGTCAACATATATCCAAGATATGTTAAGTAGACAGGACGAAATAATTTCGTTTCTTGAAATCAAATACTATCATGCTAACATCTTTTAAGCGAATGCATTGCGCTTATGGATCCAATATGTTACAAAAAATCTTGATCTTATTTTCGTCCTTGTTACCTTTCAAAATATTAAATAATATATAGAATTAAACCTTGAGATTCGATATAGTTTTTATTTCCTTTTTTAACATCAATCATATTTATATACAATTAAATACTTATACTGTTGCAAAATACATTTCAGTATATATATCAGAGTAATCATTGATGTCTCTTTCTTTTATTTTGAAAAAAAATAAAAATCAACCATTAAAGGCCGTTCTCTTTCTCACTTCGAAAATGTCAAATTCATTCTCTAGTATAATCGTCGCTATTTGTGTCACTAACAAAATGGCACCTGTTATCGGCAAGATTTTTCATTCGTTATTCAAATAAACATATAACGATTTTACTTGAGATTTCGAACATTGTTTTTAACTGTAATAGTATAATCCATATCTTAATTGAAATCTATATATATATATAAGAATGAATAAGCATTACCAATTATAAATTTAGATGAAGTATGCATTAAACTATTTGATTTTTTTTGTTCTCAGAACGTGATGTGTACAAAAAAACGGAGAAAAGAAAAAAATTAATAATAACTAACAGGAGATGCGATATCGTTCGTTGACATATACAGGTACGTATTTATGTAAAAAAAAAAAAGAGAAACCAAATGGTGTTTATTTTGAAATGAGAAAAAAAAAGAAGAAAGAATCGAAATTGAATCATGCTCTTTTACTATTCTATGCACAAAAAGAGAGAATAAATTTATCGATTTTGTAGACGATAATCGTCTTTTTTTTCTTGCTATTCATTTTTTATATTCAAAATCAGAACATTGATATAAATATATACACATATATATATATAGTCTTTTGCACTGCTTTACGTTTACAATCCATGAGAACAAAGATAATATGACAATGAATTTAAACGCAACCAAAGTCAAGTGTTGTATGTATATTAAGATTTGTTTATTATGATTAATCTAACTCCTAAATAAAAAATATGTAGACAACGGATTAAGTTTTCAAGTATTCTTGCTATGGTTTCTTTTTTCCCAATATATATTTTATTTAAGAATTTTAATTATTTTTTCAAAGCTTTAAAGAAAATATATTGTTTATATGATAGTTCTCTTTTGTGTAAAAGAAAAAAAAAAAGGGACGGGCATTGCTTTTATTTCGTCACATACATTGTGAATTGATCTTATATATATATATATAATAGTTTATTGGTCGATTGCAAACAACAAGAAACGGAAATTGAAACGTTCGTTCTGTTACTCGCATCAGACACAAAAAAAAGAGTCTTCTGTTTATGTTTATTGCTTAAAAAGAAACATTTATCGAGAAATTTATCTATATAATAATTGAAAAATTATTCGTTTATTGAAACGAATTATTTGTATTCTTTCTTTTTTTTTTCTTAAATGAGTATATAATTTATTCACACATAAATATATATATACATATATTTATGTGAAGTAGTAGTTAATTTAAAAAAGGAAAGGTTGTCTTTTTCCGCTACCATATTGTTCTAATCATTCTCAAATAGCAAGACATGAACCGTTAAAAGTCGATTATTTATCAGCAAAACAGAAGAATCAACGAACGTTGTCTATCATCATTTCGGCTGATTACTTTAAATAAACATCTGAGTAAGCTTTTTTCTTCTGTATGTTATGTTTTCATTTTGTTGGAGTGGCTGCTTGTTTTCCAAGATTTATTATTTGTATCATCGAATGAGACATGCTATATGTTAGTCTTATCCATATAGAAAGAAAAAGAATATTTTCATCTGCAATGTGTATATCTATACGTTATTCTTCTATCTTATTCATTGTTGCATCACACACAGTGTATGATACAAGTCGTATGGGGAGATATTTGAAGAAATGATATGTCAATGGATATGATTATAGGAAAAGAAAGGAATATTATTATCTCAAGAGGAAAAAAAAACCGAGATTTATTTGTTTTTTGGCTAAGAAGCAAAGAAAAAAAAAAGAAATTTGTTTCTACTTAAATTATCTGATTTATTACATATGTTGAAGATATTTCCTCGAGATAGATAAGATCTTTTATATAAAATGATTTTCTTTATCTTAACCTAATTTATTCTTTACTAACGACTTCTTTTTTGTCGGTAAAATATCATTGAAGAATTTGGAGAATTTGACCTTTTGATCTTTTTCAAAAAAAAAAGAAAAAAAGAAGACGACGAAGAAGAATAAACCAGATGTTGATCATCTTCTTTCTCATTTTTCAATTAGACTGTATGTTACTTCCGTTTGTTCTTTCAATATACGTGTTTTTCTTTCCTTGTACATATGAAAATATCGGGCAGTAGCATAACGCGTGCCTGTTAGACGATAATGATGATGAGCCAACGGGGTTGTTTGATTTCGAAAGAAAAAGAAAAAAAAAGATGGGCGTCTTGGCGTTTTGCTTCTAGTGGTACCAATAAATAGATGAGAAACGATTGCAAAAGAGACAGAGAGAGAGAGAGAGAGAGAGAGTTTGCTTTTTCTGATCCTTGTATAGAACAAAACTAATAAATCTTCCCTCTCTTGTTCTATTGTACATATATATGTTTTTTTTCTCTGTTCTTTATCTCATCGTTTTTTTTGTTTTTGCTTGATGATCATCATTGAAGACGAGTACAGATTGAAAGAAGAAGAATCAATAATGATTGGCGACAATAATTCAACGATGAAAGACGATGAAATCAATGATTTGTCTTCATCTAATAATAAAATAACGAATAATGAGTTATTTAAATCAGCTAATCGACGAAAACAAATTAAGCCAAATCGGTAAGTCAATTAATATAAAAAAACAACAACAACAAAAGAATTTATTATTATTATTATTATTCAAGTGTTACAAGTGATGATGATGGAATTCAACAACAAGAGTTAATTATCGATGAATCAACAAGTAAAAATAAACTTTTTTTTGTTTTGTGTTTTTTTATTCGAAAGGAAATATTAACATGCTTAATTAAATAGATTTAATTAATGGTAATCAAGCCTCACCGGAAGAATATATTTCAAATAATAATAATAACAACAACAACAATCTTCGACAACAACAAGAAGCCTATTGTAATTTATGTGAACGTTCATTCTGTAATAAATACTTTCTTAAAACACATTATGTTAAAAAACATGCAGGATTTAATATGGTATCACCATTATCATTAACAGAAAATAATGATAATGTTAATGTTTCTTTGTCTCCATCATCATCATGTTTATCAAATGAACAACCAATACCTTTAATTAGTAGTCAACAAGCATCACCAATTAATAGCAATAATAATAACAATAATAATAATAATAATAAAACAATTGAAAAAAAAAATGAAGATTATTGCGAGGTTTGCTAAACAGAAATAAAAAATTTACGAAAAATTCTATTTATGTTTGTTTTCTTTTTATTTTTCAGATTTGTCAAAAATATTTTTGCAATAAATATTATCTTCGTGTAAGTGTTAATTAAAAGCATATTTATTTACTTTTATTGCTATATATATTAAAAAATATTATTAAACATATACACTAATATATTGAGTGTGTTACTATATTTGTAGAGATTAGCTTGTTTAGAAATGTGATGTTTAATTTTGTTCAGATATTTTATATTCTTTATCTAAGGCGAATTGGTATTTCTTCGATGTTCTAATATAAATATTGAAAAGAAAGACGAAGAAGAAAAAGAAAAGCGTAGTTGTATTAATAGTTGAGCGTATGTAGACATATTGAAAAGAAAAGAAGAGCTTATCTGACTTTTAATAAGCTTATTTATTCAGAAGCACAAACGAACATACGAATGAATTTCAATTCACATACCAATGTTTATTGAAAAGAGAAAATAAACAATTCGTTAGTAAGGGCGTCCAGTAATGATCTAGCCTGCAGGAAAAAAAAGAGGTCAAAATACTTTTTATAATGTATGAAATATTACTTCGTCTTACAATCTTTTCCAAACGAACTATATTTAATACTAAATAAAAAAAAAAATATTATTATTTTACAGAAACATAAAGGTGAATGTCATGGTGTTTATACTGATTATATAAAATCTTTACAAAAAAGTACTACTGAAAGTCCGACCAAGACTATTTCAAATCGACCATCACCATCTATTCAAAGTAAAATGTGAAATTTTTATCCATAAAATTTACTCGAAATTTATTTTTTAGCTCCATCAAATCCATCCAATACACTTTTATTAAATCCATTTTATCCTGGACCATCAGATATTAAAAGTCTATTTCCTATTCCATCATCACCAAATATAAATATGAAATCATCATCACCAAATATAAATAT